TGAAAATGTTAACAACGGGTTCGGCCGAACCTGTGCGAACCCACTGAATATCACCACTGTGTCTGTGCCATTTTCATTTTTTATGGTACAGTATGGTTATTTTATGCTGCGGAACGAATTATATGTTTTAACATGTATTTCTATGGGAAAATGCGTTTCGTATAACGGACGTTTCACTTAACGGATGTGCACCTGGAACGGATTAAGTACGTTGTACGAGGCACCACTGTATTTTATTGAATTATATATCAACCATTTTGGTCAAATACCTGTTGTCATCATTTCTGGTAGTAGCATGATTTCACATTCATAAAAGTTTTGATCATTGCTTACAAAAAACTGATCCAAGTGATTTTTGACATTGTCATTTCAAGTAAATGTCTTACAGTTAAAAAACATTTGTATAGTCTGGAACAAGTAATAATCTGAGTGTGCTCGATCTGGCAAATATGGTTGGTACTGATAGCACAACCCATCTAAGTTATAACAGTTTCTGATGAGTTACCAAACTTGTGTGAAATTTGACATTATCGTGGTAAAACACTACACCTATTTTGTTGGTCAATTCTGGCCACCTTTTCTGTTTGATGATATTACTCAATTTGCTTACTCAATGGCAGTACACTTTCAAATCAATTGTTAAATTGTCTGGTAAGAGCTTCAAAAAAAAATTTCCTTAAAATCTCTTAAAATCTAAAAAAGAGAGCATCTCTCTTTAAGAATATGTGGAACTCATATATCGAGCTTTGAAACGAAACCAATTTGTTTCAAGTAATCATAAACAGTTCAATTTGACAAATTTAATCTCTTAGTGATTTCACGTGTTGTTATTTGGCAGTTTGCTTCAGTCAGTACCTTTATTTTGTTTTCATTGGCTTCAACTAGCCATCCAGAATGTGGTGCATCTTCAAATTTGAATTTCCAGAACGAAATTTTGTAAACCAGTTTTGGCACTGTCGTTCTGTCAATACATCTTCTCCATACATGTCTCACAATTTTTTTCTCACTTGAACAACATTCTTACCTTTTTAGTAATAAAAGAGTAAAATATGCCGAAAATGCTGCTTTCAATCTTCCATATTTGATGGGATACAAGAAATAAACAATTGCACAAAATCAAACAAAATTTTTTACAAATAAGCCTTAAAATGCTAGCTGTCAAAATATATAATGATAATACAATTTAGAATGAAAATGGCAGAAAAAATATGATTAATCCATCTAGTGGTAAAAAAAACGAAATTACTTTCCGAACAACCCAATAATTTATTTTAATTTTGCATCATTGTCATCTTAAAAGCATTTTGGACAATAAGTAGGCTAGTAATTTAAATTAAATTCTCATTACCAACAAAGCTCACTTAAACCAATATGACTGTCAAGTCATATCGGTTTAAGTGAGCTTCAAGTAAAGTTATATTCCATATAACCTTATTTGAAGCTTATATGGAAGATATGATCATGGAAACCATGTGCCATGACTATATCTTCCATATAGTCATGGTATATGGTTGCCAGTGGAAGTTTATTAAGAGTGTCATACATTTACATCATTATCACACTCAAAAAAATTCCAAGCACGATGATAGTTTATAAACATCCTTTAGGACTGTTACCTGCAACAAATTTCATTACACTGAAGCAAAAGTTCTCCAACAAAACAGGTCTTAGCCTTAATATTAACAAATAGACAAACATATCTAGATGTAATTTACTCTATCAATTGATATAAAAAAATTTACTTATGAATTGACCATTTAAAAGTTACAAACAATTTCTTACTTCTGGCTAATTGTTCTGTTTAACCCCTTAAGTTCCCAGCAATTTTTGATATTAATGTAATTAAACATAAAAAATACTTAAAACTGAAAAAAATGAAAGAAATGCGTTAATTTTGAAGAAAAAGCTTCAAACTTTATTTTTCTTTGTCTCGCCTTTCTGTGAAATTTGACATGGATGAGTCATTGTTTACACAGCTGGAGTCAGATTTTCCGGGACATTCTCATAGAAGTCTCGGGAGGCGAAGGGTTTGTAGTAGGGTGAGTAGTAGCTGGCCATATATTTTTAAATATTTTTAAAAAATTCAAATTTTAATTGCGATTTCCGACCCCCCCAACTTAATTAAACGTGTATATAATAAAATCTATTCATTAAAAAAATTAAAAAACTATTGGAGGTGGTTTTTGACATCAGAAACTAGCTTTAAATAACTTTATCGAAGGAAAATCCATGCACTACAACTTTAGAACGATTAATTAATTTTGATTAAAAAAATCCCATTAAAAAACAATTAAGCCTTAATCGAGCCTTATCAAAGGCTAATTAAAATCGCGATAAAATTTTTTTGCGCGGGTAAAAATTTTTGAAAAAATTTGGAGACTTAAAAAACATTCCAAAAATTAAAAAAAAACAAATTTTTTTGGGGGGCCGAAAGGACAGAGTTTTATGTAAGGCTATGTAACCTGTCCGAGTTAATGCGGGCAAAGAACTTAAGGCGTTAAGACTGACTTTAATAAGAAATACATATGCATTCATCAATATTAACAAAATCTATTACTTTAATTCACCACAACACATTCCATCTATGAGAAAAATCAACATTAAAAATGGTAGAATGGTGTCATTAGCATGCAAACATGTGAAGTTACAACAACTGATGCAGGGAAACTTTTCTTGATTGGTGGGTAACATGTCAAGAAAAACATCATTTGGCATCATTTCTAAATTTCTGAGGTCAATAACAACAGAAAGACTTGCCAGAGTACACAGAGATTAGGAGACTGTCAAGTGACCAACTTGGTGCTACAGGATGAAAAATGTGTTTGCTTCTGAATATATACATATACAGTGTAAAGTAAATTTATTGTGTAATAAAGTTTAATTTGAACATTTATTTATAAAAATTCTGCTATGAGTATAAATGCAACAATTATAAAAATAATGCAATATAAAATTTTTTATATTTTTATTGAAATTTCTTATGTTCTGATATATTTTGCATACCTTAAAACATCTTAGTAGAGAAAATTAGTACAAAAAAGATTTATAGTCAATCACAGAAGTATTATATACAGAATATCATATATAACATTTTTATACAGGTGATCTATAAAAATGTGAAAAAATTTATATATTGCCAAAAGTATAAAGTAGAAAAATGACAATATATCAAGAGAGAACATCTGTAGAAGATAAATAGAAGAAAATAAAAGAGAATCCAGAAAGTTAGCAATAAGTATTTCTGCAGAAGGGAACAAAACAAGAAGAAAGAATAGATGAATGATAACATACTCCACTTAATGGACTTAAGAATTTTCAAAAATCAAAACAAAACCAAATATGATGAAATACAAAAGATAATCCAATGAGAAATAAGAACCACAAAGAAAGCTCATATGACTGAATTGTGCACTGAGATAGAAGAATACCAGAAAAAACATGATCTCTTTAATAGGCACAAAAAGATCAGAGAAACTACTGGGAATTGCAGGCAGAGAGTATGTGCATTGCTAAAAGACAAGGCAGGAACCTGGCAGCAGATACAAAAGACAAGCTTAATATATGGAAAAAAATACATAGAAAAACTATTCAATGAAAATTGAGGAGAACGACCTATCATAAATAGTAACAACAGACCACCAATACTGGAGAGTGAGGTTATAAGAGCCTTAAAAACATCCAAAAATGGGAAAGCAAATGGTCCAGATGACATCCCTGTAGAGATGTCGAAACACCTATCAGAAGTGAACATTAATGAACTAACAGAACTTTTCAATGCCATCTATGACACCAGACATTATCCCAAATGATTGGTTGCAAGCAACTTTTAACACCATACCAAAAACAGCCAATGCCAAGTCATGTGATGAATACAGAATGATCAACCTCATGAGTCATGCTTCAAATTCTTAAAAATCGTTCATAACAGAATTTACTAAAAATGTGAAGAGAACAATGCAGAAACACAGTTTGGCTTCCGGAATTCCATTGGCACTTGAGACCCATTTACAATGAAGGTTCTCATACAATGATGCAGAAATATGGGCTGTGACATACATATATGTTTTTTAGATTATACAAAGGCATTCAAACAGATGCCAATATGAAAATGATGATCCTGGGACAGTAGATAATTGGTGTTGATGACAAAGACACTGATCAGAATCATCAGCAATCTTTACTGGAATCAAACCATACAGATCAAGGTGGAAGGTCAACTGACTGAGCAAATTCATATCCCTAGAGGTATACAACAAGGCTGTGAATTATTCCTCCACTCTCTTCAACATATACTTTGAGAATATTATTTTCAGAAGTACTGGCTGATCTTGACATCAGCATCAAAATCAATGGAGAATATTTGAATAACATTTTTAGCTTATGAAAATGTTTGCTAATACTTTCAGTAACATAAAGTTACCGTCATCAGGCAAATATTGAATACAACAGCTATTGAATTTTACATTTTTTAAAAATATCGTTACACAATGATATTGGATTTTAGATCCTTATAACCATCAATAAAAATTCAACCATGTTTTTGTGCACTCGGAGACTTCCTTCTTTCTAACATAGAGGATACCACATTGCACCACAATGTTCTCGAGTTAGCGCATCTGGCTTGTTACAATTCCGTATTCCAATTCAAGAGCACTATATACACACAGGGAAGAAGTGTGCCAATGGGAAGTCCATTGTGTGGAGATTTATGCGAAATGGTGATCAGAGCATTAGAAAGCAAGGTCCTTCCCTCCTTTCTCCAAAATATTATCCTATACGGTAGATATATCGACAATATAATTATCCTTTGGGTGTAAATAAGTTTATTCTTTTGAACTGAGAGACTGATTCAATCTCTCTAATGTCATCTAGAAGTTAAATCAGTATAGTAGTCCTATTAATAGATTATAGTCACAATGGACTAATAGTAATAAAATAATATTTAAAGGAATAGAAGCATTAATTAATTATATTAAATAAAACTTAATATAATTACTTACATGATCACAAAAACGAACAACGGCATATTCTTTTTTGTGATTACAGTTAATTTTCTTCACCTGACCATACTGGCTAAAATGATTTGAAAGAAAATCTTTATTGTTCAATTCTTTGGGAATTCCTTTACAAACAATAGATGTTATTTTCTTAATCTCCTCATGAGATGCAATTCTTCGGTCTTCCGACAAGGAATCAACTTGAACGTGTTTCTTCTCATTTTCACTCTGAAATACAACTGAAATATTTTGAACAATAAGTATCTATTTAAATTTTAATAATAACTTATAAAATTAACATATTTTTTATTCTATTCCTGGAACAAGTCATAGTAAACATGTTTTGAATATTCTAATGTTCCAGAGATAATTTATAAAAACAATTGATATAGATATCTACTATTGATATAGATATCATGTATATTGTGAGATCTGCGATTTTTACGTAGTTGTCAGAAAAAAATTTGTAAACAACTCCAATGGAAAAAAAACCATTCTTGGTGAGAATTAGATCAGAGGTCACTGTTTGTTTTCACAATTAGGTGGGAAAGTTGACACTTAGGTGGCAGGAATGCACCATCATCGTCAACAAAAGTCGATCACATGTTAGATTTCCCACAACAATGATATAAAAGCTCGAGCCCCTGGAAGCTCAGGGCAATCCAAAGGAAGTTATACTTGTTAATGTGTGCATTGTGTCTCCATACACTGGATGCAATGACCGAAAGGAAAAGACATCGACATACAACAGACCACAACTTCAAACTTCCATACTTATCATCATACTACAGTTCCTGCACTGACTACGATTTCTACGACCCATTCAATGCATACCATTCATTTCCTCATAGAGGTATTTTTATTTAGAGCTTTGAGAACTCTCTCTCAGAATAGTCGTTAGAGCTGTTAAGAGTTGGCCTTTGTATAGTTAACACATATTTAACCGCATTTAACCTCTATATGATTATCGCTATTGTAATTAGGATTAGTTATTCAATAAATGCTTTGTTATTTTGTTAACCTGTTGCCTGTCATTAAAAAGATGCCTGTTGGCTTACCGATGCACTCCCCACTCGATTTGACCTCCTAAGCCATCCAACAATCCGAGACCGATCTTTGTGGACTGTGCCAGGTAAGTGGTCATTAGGGATCGTCCCAGTGACCTTCGGCTTGTCTCACAATATGAAAAAACTTGCAATATATTAAAATAATTACCAGAAATTTTGGAAATGTTTTATTAATTAACATTTTTATTAGAAAAAACAAATTGTCAGTCTAAAAGTTTTAAAAGATTATTTTGGACAGAAATAGAAGTAAAAAAGTAAATTTGAGTTAAATAAATTTTTACAATAAATGTAGTCTAGAAAGTAAACAATGAGAGAATATAAAACAATTATCTTTACTTGGAAGTGTTAAGAAATCTAATGTACACAACATATTCAAATAACTTGTCAATCATGACTTTTTACCTTGAATTTGATGATTGGTAAAAAATGATCAGATTTGAGATTTTGCAAATGTAATGTTGACTCATCTCTTAAGTACTTTAAGACTATCAGAATATTATCTTACGCTTTAATATATCCTCCAATGAACACAGACTTTAAAATTATATGTGGTGTGTCTAAAAAGTTTGGTGAATGTTAGAATAAACAACTACAACAGAAGATATAGAAATTACTTTTATTAGCCTTCAAAGTACTCTCCAGGGACATAACACACTTTTGAAAACATTTGTAAAACTTCTGAAAACAGTTGGAAAAGTCTTGTTTGAGATCACCTTAAGAACAGTTGTCATACATGCCTGTGTGAGGGGCTAGCTGGGGGTACAAAGTTGATAAAACTTGTGTACCACTTAATCGGCAGCTAATCATGAGATTAGCCCACAGTCGTCTAAAGGATGGCTTTTCTATGAGTGATAAAAGATGTGGAGACTAAACGATTGTAAAATCACAGTCTCCTCTGTCAGGATTCCCAACACCAGTTAAGTAAATTTATAACACGCGCCCTAACTCGCATTTACTTCTAATTATAAATATCTGTGATGTTTGAGTGACAATGTCTGAATAAATCATATGAGGGTTAACAGTTGAGTGAGTGGGAAAATGCAGATCATTTGATACTAATAACAATAAATTTATTATAAACAAATTAAATGGATGATTACAATAAAGTACAAATGATCATTAAAAATACAACTGACATGAGAATGCAAATGAATGAAATTATTAACATTATCTAGGCCTATCCTCATGGAGAGTTTACAATATTTCTAACGATTTATACTACCTTAACAATACTTTTCTTCATTCATAAATGTTAGATACATATAAGGAGGATCTTCTACTTGAACCTGTAATTTCATTGAACATGGTATAGTATGGCCAATTTGAACTGTAAAAATTGCATAACAAATTCTCTTCCAGGAACTGTGCAGAAAAGTGGGAAAATCATCCCCTTATATAGAGACAACGGCCGAATAGACGGCCAAGTCCCATGCATGGCTGCTTATGATTCACTTCAAGTCAGCTGCCAGGAAAGGAAATCAACTTCCTATAACGAAAATATTAGACATCCGTTTTTCGAATAAAATTCTTAAAATTATAAAATATTAATTTTCTATTTAAATTTAAAACGTTATTTTCACAAATAATTCCTTTAAATAGCTGACCCTCAAATCTCAATTCTCACACCTGCATTGCAGAAACATCAAGATTGAGGGAATATGACAGATGATCCAAAACAGTTTCACAATACTGAGCCAGTACTGGGAACATAAGGATCGCATAATATACTGGTATGATGGCACACCAGCATGCAGCAAAATTCACTTTCCAGTCTCTTGGAATTCTTGCTGTACATGCTGCATGTACAGCAAGAAATGTGGTAATCATGGTTTGACTGGCAGGTGCTAATTCCTTATGGATGATTCCATCTTTGTCAAAAAACATTCAACCTGAATGCAGTTCATCTTCTGTTTCCTTACTAAAGCCAAACAATTGCTGAATTAGATTGGACTATATTACTGCTACTATTAATAATTAAATGCTACATAATTTGGCCTACAGGTAAATGTTAGGTGCCATCTCTTATTAAATTTAATAATTATAATTAAATTAATATTTATTAATTAATTATACAGGTATTACTAAAGGATTATGGTAGCATAACTATCTATCTTTAGGCCAAATTATGTAGCGTTTAAATATTAAATAAATACAACCTCACCATAAACTGTAACCGTAATATTTGCTAATCACACCTAAATTCAAAATTTCCAGCAAATAAATGTTAAAAATACACATCAAACGTTTTCGGCCACTAAATTTATCGGCCTTGCTCAGGAAATACAAACTGGAAAAACCATTCTATAAATAGAACATAGCTGCCTTTTAAATTTTAAAAGAACAAAAATGGCTGTGACATATCTTGTATGACATATATTATGAGTCTAGATAGTGTTCCCACGCTGATGATACCAGAATGACATCCATGTTGATGCAGTTTCCACTCATGCTCACCTTGTAGATCTCTACTGCTTCTAAAATTTTTATATTTTGCCTGTCGAAAACCTTGTGTATTAGCTTGGCCTGGTCCCAACAGGGGGAAATCCCTGAACCGCTGGCATACCATGCTAAAGCCGTATTGATGTTACCTTTTAGCAAGTCATATTTGTGATCTTTTAGTTTGGCTTGCAGCGATCTGTACATGGATCCTATGTAAGTTAGTAATCTGTCAAACCTCTTGACATATAGGGGATGCGGTAAATCCCAGGAGCCAAAGCATCTTCAGTGTCATCCTTCGCGTTTGAGAGAAGGCATAAAACGGTGGGTTTCCTTCTATAGGTAAGGAGTACGTTTAAATTATTTGCAATCTTTGTATATATGCAATGTAGTGTCGGATTGTAGTCTAAGATCATCCGATTTGCTTCTGCTTTTTTAACCTTGTTAGATGACTGAGTTAGATATTTGGATGCAAGATTGTCAATAAACGTGCGGCCATATCCGTGATTGTATGCTACTTGTTTGAGATGTTCCAGTTCATTGTTGGTATCAGACAACTGTGTAGAATGGGAGTAAGCTCTGGCCACGAGAGTGCAGAATGCTGATGTTTTATATGACCATGGGTCTGCTGAATTAGAAGGTATGAATAGGGGGGTGGAAGTAGCCTTGTGATAAATTGCTGTGACGAATTTTCTATCAGCTACTTGAATCCTGATGTCTAAGAAATTAATGCTATTACCACTCTCCCGATCCTACTTTAGCGTTAATCTGTAGCTGTTATTATTAAACATTTTTAACACATCCCCAATATTAGGACATTTTCTCCATACAATTAAAATGTCATTGACATATTGGGTGTACAGAAAGATGTTATGCTTGATGTTTTTTAATGATCGCTCCTCCAATTTTAGCACAGTATGCCAGCAATCCAGGGATTTCCCCCTGTTGGGACAAGACCAAGCTAATACACAAGGTTTTCGACAGGCAAAATATAAAAATTTTAGAAGCAGTACGGATCTACAAGGTGAGCATGAGTGAAAACTGCATCCACACGGATGTCATTCCGGTATCATCAGCGTGGAAACACTATCTAAACTCATAATATACGTCATACAAGATACGTCACAGCCATTTTCGTTCTTTTAAAATTTAAAAGGCAGCTACGTTCTATTTATAGAATGGTTTTTCCAGTTTGTATTTCCTGAGGAAGGCCAATAAATTTAGTGGCCGAAAACGTTTGATGTGTATTTTTGACATTTATTTTGTTGGAAATTTTGAATTTAGGTGTGATTTGCAAACATTTAAATATTAATAGTAGCAGTAATATAGCCTGATCTAATTTGGCAATCATTTACTTAATATAACTATCAATCATATGAATGTTTATATTTCTGATTCCTTATCATTGTGATTGTTTAAACCAGTTGTGTACACACTTTTTACTCACTGCATCATTCTTGTATACTTTGGTCAATAATTCATGCATCTCCATTGCTGTTTTCCACAATCTGCAGCAGAACTTCATGTTGGCTGTTCTTCCATTGCTTTTTGATGCCATCTCTCACATAGACTGTGCTCAAATGACTACAATGGAAGTCTACTTGCAGCCACAATTATTACATGCTAGGAGGCACTTCTAGGCATGTCCCTGCATGTCCATGTGCATGCTCAAACTCATTGCATGTGTTGCATTTAAGATATCCTAACATTCACTGAACTTTTTAGACACACTACATAATTTTGTTTTTTAACCAGCAAATCTCATCTCCAAAATTTTAATAGTGATATAGTGTATGAATACCACTAAATCAAATATCCCCCTTTCTCTCTCAGTTTTTTAGTACAATATTATTTCTTATATACTATTTTCTTTATGCCATTCTTAGCGTAATTATCAAGTTTCAATAAACTTTATTACTAATAGAAAAAAAAGTATATTCAATAATGATAAATTATAATAATCAATAACAATATGCCAAAAATATTACACATAATAAAAAATATCAAAATTGAAAAATAAAAAACTAAACTTACTTCTTTTATGCATTTCTACATTAGTTTTTCTTTCTGATGTTTTAACATCAGCTTTCCTTTCTGGTGATTTGACACCAGCCAATGCTCTATTAAATAATCTTCCACCTTGTTTGGAAGACTCAAATTTGACAGGAAAAATTTTATATTTACTTATTGATCGCTTAATATTCTCTCTTAGATAATCGTGTGATTCTTTCACTTCAGGTTTCTCTTCCATTTGCTCTTTTTTACATTGCATCTCCTGTATGGTGGTATTCTTATACTCTCTTACAAAAGAAAAAGTTTCTGGTTTAACTGTACTAATTTCTGTCTTTTGTCCATGGTTTGATGCCAGGACAGATGTGTTCTGTAATTCAGTTTTAGTATCTGTAGCTGTTTCAAAAGCATTCTTATTTAGAGAAAATATATTTGATGTAGTATTAGGTACTGAAAACGATTTAGTTTGCAACTTTAAAGATGGCCAACCAGTATCTTGTGATGTGTTTGATGTATTAAATGTTCCAAACAAAGAACTAGAATTTTTTTTATTTAGTTCATCAGACTGATTGAATTGCAGCATAACTGAACTAGAAAGATTTGTTGATCCTTCTGATGAATTATCCAGAGAATTATCAATCCTATTAAATGTAAATGTTGGCCGAAATGAAAATGTTGGGGTAGTTCTTGGTTGAAAACATATACTATTATTTGAAGTTAACATCTGTAAAAATAAAAAATACATATATACATACATATATATATATTTATAACCATTGATTGTTTTAGTATTAGTACTATATAATTTGCTCTTCATAGCTCATCAATATGCCTTCCTTTTATACACAATATCAAATTAAATTCATTTGTTAAAAAAGTCACTTTCAAGGAGAGGACAGACATTCAAGTCTCTGACTTGAACAAATCTCGGTGAGCATGTAGCCCTAACACAACAGCTCCTCATCCAAATAATAGGTCCTATTTCTCAAGTGTTTCTGAAAAACAGACCTCTGAAAATTGAGAGTTTAGTTATAAGACTTTGGAAGTTTGGTTTCTTCTTGTAACAGAAATAGCTAGTGAATAAGATGCTAAGCATTCAGCTTCCCTGATGTAGGTTTTAACAATTTACAATTTTAACTTTTTTTCATGTGTAACAAAATTATTTTATTATTTTACCCCATCATTAGCATTATTATTACTATTACTCCTCACATTTAAAATTTAAAATCAAAAGATTAAAAAACATGACATCATTAAGTAAAAATAAATTTAAAAACTCACGCCAATGTTTGTATAACTTATGGATACAAATTCACTGAGTTCAGCGTTAATAAAGTTCCTTTAGTATTAACACCCACCCTCGATCTACCCAGGGTGTGGATTGCCTTATATCGGCGCCTAAAAAACGAAACGCGCCTAACATCGTATCGCCAACACGGTAGCATTTCCACGCATGCGCCGCTAGCATCGTAAAATATAAAAATTCAAACATATCAAAAATTATTTGCACGTTCTTAACGGAATTTCCGAATGCCTGTTTGAATTTAAATATTCTGTTCCTTTGGAACATCCTGCATGTTTGTCTTGTTAAATTTTGTTCTTTTCACCTGAAGACGATGATTATACATTCGTCGAAAGTGCTTGTGTTAATACTAAAGGAACTTTATTAACGCTGAACTCAGTGAATTTGTATCCATAAGTTAAACATGACATCATTTACTGTTTAGAAAAAACAAATTTTCTGTAGATTTAATTCTTGTATGTCATTAAATAAATGTTTAAATTCTTCATATTTATTTTCAGATATTTTTGTTCATGGTTATATACTATGTACAACAAATAAATAAGCTTCAGACATTAATGCAGGTGGACCAAAAAAGACAAGTCTGATATGAAAATAGGGTAGCATAGTTGCAGCATTTTTTTTAATTGTTAATGTTATGGACAATTTCCTCATGTGATCATGTTTTTTAAACTTTAGATATAACAATACCACCATTTCTGAAAATGAAGTCTCTATAGATTTAACAATCTACAGAGACTTCATCTTGCTAAACAGGAACAATGATGTCACTTTTTTTAATATCTTGTTTTATAAGCATTAAATGTGAAGAATAATAATAGTAATAATAATGATGTGATATGGTAAAATAAGCTCAATTACATAGGCCTAATGCCAAACATCTTATCTGCTCCGTTATCACTGTTACAAGAAGAAACAAAACTTCCAAAGTCTTATAAACTAAACTCTCAATTTTCAGAGGCCTGTTTTTTCAGAAATGCTTGAGAAGTGAGTACTATTATTTGGACGAGGACGAGTACTATTGTGTTTAAGGCTACATGCTCACCAAGTTTAGTTTGAATCATAGACCTGAATGTCTGGCTTTCTCCTTGTAAGCAAAATACCAAAACACTTTACATCAAACTTTTTCAAGATATTTTCCTCTCATCATCAGATGCTAATATAGAACATAAACTTAAAATAATAACCTATATTTAAAAATTTAAATAATTCTTTTTAAATATATTTCAAATAATCTCATAGGAAAACAATTACAGTTGATTCAGAAATACAGGCACAGTCTCCAATTTTTGGACAAAATACATTCCTAAAAATGTGTGAAAGTCAAATGTCTAAAAATCAAGCACTAAAGTTACATTTTATAAAAAGAATTCCATTCTTAGACAACTAAAAAAAGTTATGAAATATTTTAAGGTGAAAAAGTTGTAATTTAACACTCTGTGCATTGTATTTAAACAATATTCTATCCAATGCATACAATATTATTACAATACACAGAACATTATCTAAAATGTAAAAAAAAAATAGATTAACTAAAAAAACAAATAATAAAATTGCATGAACCTTTTAGATGAAACAATATTGACACCAAGACATTTTTAAAAGGTCATCCCCAGTGTTCTGAAGTGAAGAAAAAATAAAAATAGAACAATTAAAAAAAAAATGTCATTCAAATCTGGACTTAGCTGCACCATGACACTGAGATGAATATAAACAGTGCAACTCACATTAATCAGTTGACCGATGTGCATATGATTAAAACTAGCAAGTACAGGTAGGCCTCCTACAACGCAGTAGATACGTTTCTTGAAAATACCGCATTGTGGGAAATCGCGTTATAGGAGACACCAACTTTATACAAAAACTGGGATTCGGTTCTAAAAAGAGAAAAACTTGGCGTTTGAATGGCGTTTTTTGAATTTTCCAAACCAGCTATTGCTAGCCACGAATTTAACACTGATTTCATCAGCTTACGACTGTCCCATTTGTTTTAAATAATCAAATATTTTTAAGGCTTTGTGTTTAAGTGCAGTTTTACTTAAAGGCACCTGTTTCTTGTTCATATCTTCTACCCATAATATTAGTGCTTGTTCCATTTTTTTCATTATAGGTGCTCTCCGACAAGCAACATTTTTTGCAAGAATAGATGATCCGGATGCAACCAAATTTCTGATCTTTTCTCCCGATTGCTTAATTGACTGAATAGTCGACTCATTTAAATTAAAATGCCTACCAGTTTTGGATTGAATTAAAAATTTCTATCTTTGTTTAAAGAGTTATAAATTTCCTTTTTAATGATGGTTCTTTCTTTTCATTCGGCATTGTTATGGCTAAAATTTTTTTAATCAGTTTTGTGGACAGTAAAAATCGCAAAAAATAACTTCCTTTCACTATATAACTTGTTAAAAATATACACCCAATAGAAGTTTATACTGTATTTTGGACCACTTTTGCAATCTCCACTTATTGAAAGAGTATAAATGATCGAAAATTTAGTGATATATTTGAGTGTTTACGGTAACTGATGCACGTTTGTTTAGAAACAGGTCTTCCCCTGAAACTTTCAAGGGAATAACACACCAACGTCGACAAACAGCTGTTTTCAAACACTTTTAGCTCTGTATACCAAACTGCGACTCATATCACGTGATCCGTTGCAATTTTTCTGTTATGTGAAGATAATTTCTTTCTAATTACCATAAACCGCATTGTAAGAAAATTTCCACATTTTTCCAACCGCGTTGGAGCGAAAACGCGTTGTAGGAAGCCTACCTGTATTTTCATAGCCCCTTCTGGGCTCTTCTTCAGGCTTTCTTTTTATTCAAAACAAGCTGGCAGTTAATATTTGAATATAAATCAAATGGTAATAAAGAAGCCTGAAGAAAAGCCCAGAAGGGGCTATGAAAACACTTGCAAGTTTTAATTGTATGCACACCAGTCAACTGGTTAATGTGAGTCGCACTGTTTACAAATCTGGACAATTGTGTTACAATTTGGATACCATTTCCAATTTTCAAATCAAGAATATTCCAGGAATATTCCTGATTTGAAAATTGGAAATGGTATCTGAATGAACACAATGGTCTAGATTTGAATGTTCTTTTTTTATTTTTTTCTTCTCTTCAGAAAACCACTAAGATGATCTCTGAAAAGTCAAAAGCATTTTGGTGTCAATACTGTTTGACTGAAGTTAAAGATTAGTGCATTGTTATTGTGTTATACCTATGATTAGAAAGCAAGCTAAAAAGAATTTAATTTTTTACAATGACTTTGCTTTTACTGAAACTAAGATTGGCAGAAAACTCCCATTTTTCTTTTATCAGCTGAAAATTTATTAATTAAAGTGTGAATTTGACATATAAAAAATAATTTAAGGATATCAAAGTATTATGTACTAAGAGCAAGTTGTCTGTAAAATATTAAATGTACAAAAGTCATAGACTGTCTCTACTATTAATAATAGTTCTCAGCTTTAGTCAATTTAATTATTGTAAATTTAAATTTTTTCAGTGTTATTACAGTTCTCTTTAATCTAAACCTATTTAATAGCATTTAATAGTAAAGGAAAAAACCATTGAAACACATTTAATACAAAGATTTTTATATTTTAAGTATTGATGTCTTTAATAACTACTGTAAGTCTGATCTGATGAAATTATTAATTAATTACATTCTAATCTTTTCTAATTGTACTAGTAAATTATGTAAAAAAAATCATATTCAATTAATTTTTTATAATAATTTATGTACAATTTTCTGTGACATCATATATATCACATAATAAATCTATTTTAAGTCATAAATATTAATCAAATAATACATTCTTATGAACTTAAAGAATTTGCAATCAAAATAATATATTTACTTTCTATGCACTGTCATAAAACATTGAAAATAGAATTTAATATATACCTATTTTATCATCATTATGACATTCAAATTACATGATTTGTATTGTGAAATAATACTGTCTTAAATCATCAAAAAGTATTAATAAAATTGGAGTTATACCTACTCTATAAAAAACTAATATAGACCATAATATTTAATTCATAATTTAAAACACATACATTTATTTGCAAGATAAGTAAAAGTTATAAATAACGAAGAAAAAGTTTGCAATATAAATTTCCTGTTATTGCATTTGCTAAAATAAAATTTGTTTATAATTTTTGTTATAGTAATTAATTTAAAAAGGAAATTAATATGTAACAATATCATTAAAATTTAAAAAATTTTGTACAGGATATCCTTTTTTTTAAATTTAAAGCATTCCAAAATGTTTATTTCAGTTCAGTTTTGAATTGTTTGTGCAATTTTGATTTATTTTGTGGCTTTACCTCTTGATAATAAAGAAGCCTGAAAGTGCTAAGAGATTAGTATTTTTGTTTTGTTTTGTTCCAATAAAGCAGAGTATAACTAAATATAAGTTTCAGGTTTAAATTTTGTTTATATTTCCTATAGACGGACCCAAGATGTACAAAATTACTGAAGAAGTTATTTTTGGTTGGTAAAATTGCACTTAAGCCCTGTGGCGTGAAGGTCAGTTTTTAACACAATCAGCCTACGACCTATTCTACATGCTTTGCACGCAGACATACACCTCAATGCTTGTCTGTGTGCAAATCTATTGTTTGCACATCAGCGCCCAGATGCGGGTGAGCTCCCACTACATAACTACATAACATCAAGTACTCCACAAACAGTCAAGTGGGCTACACAAAGCTGGCATAGTCATGTGGGCTAAATAATTAAATGCTATAGTTTTGGAAGTACTGCCATTGGGGCTATCTAGATGCAACTTCTACCTTTTGGTTTTACAGTTTAATTATTTTGACTCCAATAAAGCAATATTTTCAGGTTTTATTTGAACTTCTAATACATTGATAAGCATTTCATGTTTCTGTTGAATAATTTTGCTGTGATAAACTAATAATTTTCAAATAATTATATTAACAATTGGCATATATTGAAAGAATCATAAATAAATCTAAAAAATAGAAAAGGTAAACTATATTCATTAAATTATGAAGTTTTCTGACATTAGATTCACTTTAAATACTTTTCAAGTAAATTAACAGCATAAAATATATTAAAATTTACAATTTAAAACTTATGGTAAATGTTTAACTCAAAAAAAAATTATTATTTACATCAAATACACTAAAAATAAGTAAAGAGAATGTATTTAATTAACTAGTTTTATATAATAACGAAGAAACGTGTCAAAGAAGTTATATTAAAATTCGATTTATTAATCACAACGTGAAAATAATGATATTGTTTACCTTTTTAAAATTTTCATCCGCCATATTTTAATAACCTCGTCCCGGCCCCGATGTTATCAAGTGGGAAAACACACGAGACGAACTGACGTCGAGGATTCTGTCAAAGCGTTCTTTTTGATGATGCCATTGTCAAAAATTATATCTTTTTAATAAACAAGAATGGGTAAGTATAACTATTAAACTTTAACTTTTTTTTTAAATCATTCGTAACATAATGAATTGACACGATGACAAATACGTAATTACTTTCGTAACGATTACGTTATTTTTACGTCAAACCTTGACGATCGTTTGGTTTTCAAAGGCATTTCTCTTTCCCGCCACCTGGTAACCTGCTGAGAATGTTTTTCAAATGTAAATTAATCCTTTAGATCAATACATTTTGTTAATAATGGATTATTTAAAAAATATTATATATATTAATTTCGTAAAAATTAATTTAATTAACATTATGTTATAATTATATTTTTTGAAAACGCGTTAATAGAACGTCACACTAAAAGTGACAAATGATCTCCATGTTTCCAAACAATAGCGTTGACAGTAGATATCACAGATATCTATTCTTCGTACCGACCAATCGGATACGTTGTTATGAATGTTACGTTGCTAAACGTACCAATTAGCGAACGGATATCATGACGTTGTTGTCATTAGGTTTATCGTAATGCGGTGTTATATTTTATATTTATAATTTTTAATGTATTTATTTATTATAAAATAATATATGTTTACCCGTTTTACGATTACATTTGTTATTTTTTATGTATAAAACGAAATATTCGTAATGGAAAAATACTTGGATGAAAAAAAATAAAAAGAGGATGCTGATTGGTTAATAATTTGCCATTTTTCTAAATGAAAATGAAAATTATTTTCAGTGTTAAATCATAAATTTTTTATTGTTTTCAAAATGCAATTAATGATTTATATACCTTAAATTGCATATTATTAATTTACATGTATTGACACATTAGCATCACTATATTTAAAAAAAAAATCCAAAAATAATGATATAATGCTATTTATTTCATTTGTTTTTAAAACAACACCTTCAGGATATTGAAATAATCAAACTGAAATATTTGGATTTTATATCATTTGAATATTTTGTTTTGATAATTTCAAAACTCTAACCCTTAATTCACAAGGTTAGTGTTGAATACAATGCTTCATATTTTGCAACAGTCTTACTTCACCACTTAATGCTTGCCGAGAAAAGATGCTTATTAAACAATTTTTCTCAGCAAGTATTAGATGATGATGTAAGATTGTTGTATCTCTGCTGAGTGCACTGTTTGTGCTGCATATTTTATTGTTTGCATATTTGTGAATGCAATATATATGCCCTCCTACTTTTTTAGTACTTCAAGAGTCATGCATCTTGTTTTATCATACCCAAAGAGATCAGAAATGAAATTCTTAGACATGAAGAGTCTAATGAAGATGGAAAGTGACTGTATTTCATTGACTGTACTGTTTCTTTGCATCACAGATGGATGTTTTTATATGTGATTATTTTTCGTTTTTAATGTGCTAAAACTATGATGTAAATTATATTTGTTAACTTTTATTTTTGATGTTGATGCTGTTGGGAAATAACATGGCATTTTTAAGTGATGAAATTTGTTCTGTAATCTTTTTTGGGAAATCTGTTTTTCTATGATTCTGGTTAAAGTTTTAAAAAATTTTTGTTGAATTTGAATACACTTTCTTAACCTTATTCTTCCAAAACATACACATTAACAGCCAAAAAGTAAAAATGTAAAAAAGCAGCCAAGTATCACAAGTTATTAACACCTAAATAGGGACCAGTTTCCCATAAAACTCCTCCCAGAAGGCATCCCTCCTTGGCAGATCACCCACATGTCATGTTGTAACCAAATAAACCAAACTATAATAATTTATCTATAAACTTGCTATTTACAAGGACATATTTCCCACAAAGTTATAGGCAATCTAATTATGTTCTTAAAATGGGTTTTACCACATATATTTTTGAAATTTCTGATTAATAATGCTGGGTGTAACAATTACTGCAAAGGTACTTTATAAATCTGAGCGAACAGGACTTAACAAGCTAGTTATTTATATAATTCTATAATTTATTTGTTGTCTTAACAGAGTTTTATTTCCTATTTCTCCTGTTTTAAGATTTTCTTTTCTTGTGATGAATTGCATACATTCATTCATTGGCCTTCCAGGAGGAGTTTTATGGGAAACTGGTCCCTATTTAGGTGTTAATAGAGAGGTTGAGGCGCACGTTTTAAACNGCAGGTATGAGAATGTTTATAATTTGAATATAAAAATTCTGTGCAAATACTGATCCAGGAACTTCACATTTAATTTCAAAACAGTCTATAATGACTCTACAACTGAGATTTTTTTTTAAAACACTGAGGCATTACTTCATTTATTACATTCCTAGATGGCCATTTGATCCAACCTTGCAACCTTTGATATAGAAAATATAGAAGGCTATAGCATATTCATGAAGCTGTTTCTTGAAATCCAAATAAAGTTAATGTGACTGCAAAACTGAAGTCTAATTTTAGTCTCATTAAAAACATCACAAGCTTATCTTTCTTTTTTATCTATACTTTTCCTGGATTTCTATCAAAATTTTTGTAAATTTATCAATGAAAGTAGGAGAGATAGTACATTAAGAGAAACTTCAGACATATCCCAAAAAAAATTATAAAATTCGATGGAGTCAGAAATTTTCTCTTCTATTTCCTTCTTACATAAATGTAAAAATATGAAAAAAATTTAATATTTTTCTTTCTCTTCTGACTTTTGGATAATATATAACTTCAATTTTTAAAAAATTTCAAGCCAATAATGATTATAAAATTTCCAAAAAAGAGTTAAAAAGGTATAAAAAAGGAAATAATTTGCAGAGAAAAAACAAACATATCCAGACATATCCTTGCAAGTTTTCTCTGCATTAATTGCTATATTCTACTGTAACCTAAAAAACATACAACTTCTTGTGTTTGGACCACTCTGTACAGATTTCACTCCTGAAATATAAGCTTGGGTTCTTCATTCAAAAAATGTTCATGTATAAAAAAGAAAGTTTTTGTGGAAGTCTGCACTTCTCTGTAAAAAGCAACCAAGTAATAAATAAGTACATACAGTCGACCCCCCCTATAACGCGGTAGATACATTCCACTTTATAAGAATTTCGCGTTGTATTTCGTCTTTTGATTCGTTCATGGTTACAAGAAATCACCACATAGAGTCTCTCAATGCTCCGTAAATATAACAAACACATAAATAAATAACACAAAATAAATTGTAGCTACGTGTCGATTCTGTATGACACGTCCGAACGTGTAAGCTGAACAATAGTGTGGGGGAGTGAGTAATCAAGGGTTGTGTTGCGCTCAAACAAAAGACGAATCAACGAGATTTGAAAATCGCGTAAGTCGAGGTATTACTGTACATTGTTTTATGCCTCAACCTCTCTAATAACTTGAAGAAAACCCAGAAAACTCCATGTGGTCAGCTCAGTGATGCACAAAATCCATAACCAACTACCAGTGTAACAGTTTAGATTCCACATAATTGAAGTGCTATGTGCTACTCTTCAAAATAATAATATAGCAAGTCTACTTCATGCTATATCATTGTTACAGTAATTAAATGAATATAATATATATCAATTAATTTAATTTGCTGGATTTACATGTAGCACCATCTATTGGTAATTATAAACTAAATACAGTATAATTTATAGAAAAAAGGATATAATTTTTAAAAAAATAATAAATCCAATAAATATTTTGAGGTGGTATGTATGATGTTATCTAAGTTAGTAGTATATTAATGGAACTGCCGCATTTCGTAGGAATTGATTGAATGGCCTAAGGGTGCATAGTGAATAAACAAATATTCTCATTTATTGTTTTTAAAATTAATAAGCTTAAAAATCTGCCTTATTGGATTTCACTAATTTACAATGAGAATTAATTTCTTATGTGCTTTCAGGCAACCAAATTCATTATCAGAAGATACAATGGGCTTGATTGTCTGAAAGTGCTGATGAAACTTATTCGCAACATAAGTTAAAATCTGTACAATGAAAGAGTAGACATGATTCCGCTTGAACTGGAATGATCTATGTCAGAGGAAAGGGGTGGTAGAAAATGTGATTAACATGTGAGTAACATTAGAATTAAGAGTAAATAATAAGATCAATAAAAATGGTATAAAAACATTTTGGAAATATTTAAAAAAAATGGTGAGAGATTAGATCCATATCTCAACTCCCAAGGAAGTAGCCACATGGCTCCTTTCATCTGACTTAGACCCTTCCATCTCAGGTGGACTCATATCTATTCTTTCACTTCTAGGACTATAGTGAACTCCAATACACTTTTTTCCTAAATCAGACTGTGCTGTGGTGAAGTCACCTTCTTGTGGTGGAAATTTGAAAAATGTAATACAGTAATACCCTGAACTTATGCTATAGGTGGGACCGAGTGATAACCGTGTAAGTCAAATTCGCATAAGCTGGGGTATAATTTCGCAATTTGTGTAAAATCCAAGTCGGATGTATGTAAGCTATTGTTGTATCTCTGCTGAGTGCACTGTTTGTGCTGCATATTTTATTGTTTGCATATTTGTGAATGCAATATATATGCCCTCCTACTTTTTTAGTACTTCAAGAGTCATGCATCTTGTTTNGACACGTCCGAACGTGTAAGCTGAACAATAGTGTGGGGGAGTGAGTAATCAAGGGTTGTGTTGCGCTCAAACAAAAGACGAATCAACGAGATTTGAAAATCGCGTAAGTCGAGGTATTACTGTACATTGTTTTAAGAATTAATTTTATTCCTGTCAATTTTGAGATTGATTTTTTTTTATAGGAAATCCATTAGAGCAGGAAAAAAATTAAAAGAAGGCCATTTTCATAATATTACTCAAAACATTCAACAATATACAGTTTTGTAAATCTATTTCACAAATGCACATACATAAATCTAGCTATCAAATTTCATTATAAGTAAGCTGCTCAAAGGAAAGTTAATTATGTACATTTACATCTCTTTTATAATTTTTTAAATCTATGTTTTATTTTAAAAATAAAATTTTAATACAAAAAGTTTTTAATCTCTTTAATGCTTATTACAAAAGAAAAGGTACTGTACATGCAAGATTTGATGTTACCAACACAGGACATAAGAGAACTCATAAAAGAATCAACATAAACATGTTAAGAATAATGAAAAGAATAATATCAATTATTACAAAAAATCTTTAAAAAGATTCTTCTAAAACAATACATACAAATGTGTCTTCATTCCAATCCAGTCCTTTCAAATGCACATTTGAGATTTTTTGTAATAATTGATTCATCCTGCAATATGTTTTTATCAAATAATAAACATGTTTATGCTTGGGAAAACCAGCAGCTTTAAAAAAGGAATATAAACAAGCAACAAGGCTCAACCAGATTTTTGGAATAACAACAAGATATGGGAAAACAAACCAACTCATATTCCCAACTGATTCAAATATACTAATTGAGGAATTTTAAGATATCTGCCCAATGAAGATTGCATTAGCAGCTGAACATTCAGATTTTACACCCCAGAATAGGCATGGTTATTTGAACACTTTTAACTATTATTCTGAATGCAATATTAAGCAATGGGGAGTTTAAACATTTTATATTTATTCAGTTACAGAAGTGCATTGCAACTAACATTATTACAATTTATCAAGTCAGATTTGAAATGAAAAAACTTGATATGAAAAAAAAATATAAACATAGTATAAACATAAAATCAGTATAGAAAAATG